ATTGGTTAGCCCAAATGGCATGGTAACGTATTCAAAGTGACCATATTTGGTTACAAAAGCTGTCTTGGCTATATCATCTTCTTTAACTTTGATTTGATGGTAACCAGAGGTGAGATCTAGTGTAGAGAAATATCTTGAACCTGCCACTGAATCTAAGCAATCCTGAACACGTGGCAACGGAAATGCATCCTTTGTGGTAATTTGGTTAAGTCTTCTATAGTCAACACATACTCGTATTTTCCCATTCTTCTTTTTTACTAGGACTAAAGGAGAAGCCCAAGGAGACAAAGACGGTCTAATGATTCCTTTGTCTTGAAGTTGCTGAATTGCATTTTTCTCTTCATCTGCCAAAGCCAAGGGCACTCGACGTGGAGGCTGTTTTATTGGACGATGATTTTCAGTTATTATTTCATGCTCTGTGAGGTGAGTTCTGCCTAAATCCCATTCATTTTTGGAGAAGACTTCTGAATAACTATTTAACAGGGTTTTCAAGGTTTTTGCCTCTTCTTTGGACAAGTTGCTTACAGACCTCTCATACAGATCTGTCAAGTGTGCTAAAGATTCCTCTTCAGTTTGACCTTCCAACCCCTCTCCATTTTCAGCTACTCTTCTGACATCGTTTTTATCAGCTACATGTAAACCCAATCTTGATACCTCCAAACAGACCTCAGCAGTTCCCAGAACTGTATCTTGGTACAATGTTTTTGCTTCTTCCAGAGGATTCATGATTCTCAAGGGTACTGTAACTTTCCTAACAATATCAATCACTGCTGGCGCCACAAGCAATGAAGATTTAGCTGTAAATTCTGGTGAAGATTCAAAAAGGAACAATTTTTCTTGATCTTCTTCATGATTGCGTTCAACAAATGCCTGAATCAGCATTTCGCTCATAGGGGGTATAGTGTATTGGTCAGCTGATCTAAGAGTCAATTTCGATTCATCATCATTTGAAATGCATGGAATTTCATGTCCATAAAATTTTATAATTTTTCTGTCCAGATGAATTTCGGCTTTACTTTCTTTATCCATTAAAATGTCCATTCCCAGCAGAGCATCGTCTTCTATGTCTGCTACCAGAAGTTGTTTCTCTATTTTTACTTCTCCAATTTGAATTTCAAAGGATCCATACCCATAAACAGGTATATTTGCCCCACCTGCACCTCGGAGTTGAGAATTTCCTATCAACAAAGGTTTTTTATCATCCTTTAATTTCTTGTATACTCTGTGAGACAGAATACTGGTGGAAGCTCCAGTATCTGTAGTAAAATGAACAAAATACCCATTCACCGTTCCCTCTAGATAAATTCCTGTTGTATTTGGTAATCTGTTTAATTTTGTAGTTGAATCTAGTTTTTCTTCTTTTGTAGAGTCTCTACTGTCCGTCTGTCGGTCCTCAGTAGTAATCTTTGTAGCCATCCCTCGACCCTCAGAAATGGCTAATGGCCATTTAAAGGATGGGGTCTAACAACAGGCTGTTGAGTCTGGTTGTGCGTTATTTTCAGGGGACATTCCCGTGCATAGTGTCCATTTTGTTTACAGCAGTAACAGACAATAGTAGGTATTCTTTTGTCACCATTTTCGACTTTCATGTGGTTTGTCACTTGCTGTAGTTCGTTGGTCCTGTTATCTGCTAAAATTTCAGTCTCCTCTTTTGTGCCATATTTCTGCTTGTAAAACTCTAACTCCTTGCTTAACTTTTGCAGCTGTACTTCCAAGTCATTATTTCTTTGTTGTTCTTCTGTCTGTTTTGCTGTACTTTTGATCTGACCTCCCTTTGGAAACTTCTTAAAGGCCTCACTTCTGGCTTCAGTTTTCTGTTCTTTGATTTGTCTCACAGCTTTCTGCTTGTTTTTCTGTGCTCGACCAGTCTCTTCGAAATTTACTACTTGTAGGACGGCCTCGTCTATATTCTCTGGTTCTTTGACATATTCGACATGAAACTGGGCATCGCCGTCTGCTAGACCATCTAAGAATCTTCGTAATAGATCTTCTTCTCGCGTCTCGGAGTTTCTCTTGGGGTGTGCTTTGTCATACAATCGTTTTAATTCAGCGGCGTAATCCTCCACTCTCTCTCCAGGTTTTTGTTGCCGGTTACTAAACTTGGATATAAAGGTCTTTCTAGTTTCGACAACCCGAAACCTGTTGTTTAATTCCTCCGTCAGTTTCCTATAGTTTCTTCGAGTAGATTTGGTTAGTTGGCCATAAACAAATTCTGCTGCTACCCCATGAAAACGTGGCAATAACTCGTCAAGTTTTCGTTTTTCACCCCATCTCTTCCTTTCTGCGATCTCCTCAAATCTTGCGTACCAAATTTTCCAATCTTCTTTGCCATTAAAGGGAGGTAACTTTACTCTGGAATCTCTGGATTTGGTTTCATGAAAGACGACTGAAGATCTAGCATCACTGGACTCTGTATCTTCCAGGTCTGAATCAGAATTGTCTTCATACTGATATTTGTTGGTCGCTGGCCTAGCATGCTGCATTTTGGCTGACAGTTTCTGTACTGCTTTTTCCACCTCGGCTTGAATTAGCTGGGCAATGTTTGAGGTTGGCGACACATTATCATTATGGATCTGCAATGGAGCATCATTAGGTGGAGCCAGATAGTTTTGAAAACGATGACTGGTGTTGTTGTTTGGAGCACCATTTTGACTTCTTCCAAAGGCACAGCTTGTGGCAGAGGCGTTCTGGACCACGTAAGATGATGGGTAATTAGAAGGGAAACCCATACTTGAAACAATAGGTATATTACCTAAAGATGTAAGAACAGGAATTTGACCTGTACAAGCAGCAGGTAAAGTACTGGCTGGTGAGGAAACTGGTAAAAACTGACCAGTATGAGATATGACAGGTACATAACCTGTATTGTGTGTACTGGACATTGTATGGACAGGTCCTAATGTGCCAACATTAAAATAAGGTTTTGAACTATTTGGTACATGCCCTGACTGAATTGTGTGCAGTGGCTCTTGACAATGCATGAAAGTACTGCTGGTCATTGAAGGACTATGATTGTGAGGTACAGAATGTGCAGTTGAGAGTGTTGTCAAGTAACCAGTGTTGCAATTTTGTAAATGATCTGGCAGTGGGTTTCTTAAGCTTACTAAAGGTGAAGCTACTGGACCTTGAGTACCCGACAAAAATAATGGTGGCCTAGCACTTACTTCATGTGAAAATAGTGAGTGCACTGAGTTGTTACCCTTATATACATTTGTCAAAGAGCTAGGAGTAGGAGCTCTAGTATGTGTGCTGGGTACCTGGATTACATCAGAAAAACTTACTGGTGTAAACGAGCTTTTGGATGTTACAGGTACATCACCTGAATTGTGTTGCAAAAGGGTATTGTTTGTAACATGTACTAAACATGTATGATCTGCAGCAGGTAATTTACCTGCATTAGTTGCAAAAATTTCGGACTCTACATTTGTTTGTGGAGTAGAACTTGTCAGTCTTGTGCTAATGTTTGTGTTATTAGCAGGTGTTTCAATCCGTTTTCTTTCTTCTTTTTCAGACTGGACAGATTGAGATGCGTCAGAACTGTAGTCTCTACCCACCAGCACATCCTCTTCTACGTGTCTGCTTACAGGAGATTCCAAATCTCGACTTCTTCTTGCCGCGCGACTACGAGCTTTTCTCTTAGAACCCATGACATAAAGTTACTTTGTAAACAAGTAAAATAACTTGTACATAAAACACCAAGATAATGCAAGTAAACAGTATTGTATACCAAATGTTTTTTTTTTTTTTTTAAATAACCTGTAACTTACAGGTACATGAAAAACTTCTTTTTTTAGAGGTACAGAATTCAATCACTGGATCTGTAAATTTTACAGATCCCGCCGTGGATGCCAAAATTGTAACGTGCGGATACGCTAACTGGACTGTCTTCAACAAGTCAAGAACTCCATTGAAAGTTTATAAATTTATTTAACAGGAAACAAAACAATACTGTTCAACATTTCACAAAATCTCTGGTGTTTCACAAACTCATAAAAAAAACCCTCTATAACTGGAGTCTTATCCAGTAATTAAATAATTCATGTGCAAGTCTAACTCTCTTAGACCTATTAAAATCCCAAGTTTAATCCTAAACTGGTAATAAACCAGTAATCATGAAAATCCACACCAGTAATATACTGGTAAATAAATATTATTCAATCTCTGAATAAAGTTTTCTCCCACACCACTTAATCAAATTATTTAACCCCAAAAAAACTAAATTAACCACACACCTTTACACTGGTGTAATCTACTGTCTGTAATCTAATCTCTGTCTACTCTGCTGTCTGCAACTCTCGTTCTTACTATATATACGTCATAAAATACTACGAAATGACGTAGAATACGATAACCAATAAGAAACGTCGCGCACCTGATCATCAACCAATCACAGGCGATACGCGATAACCTTATTCCCACGATAACAAAAAGTTGTACACACGTTTCATCATAAAATAGAAACAAGTAAAATATTATAGCTACTTTATAAACAAAATTACTTTCGTAATAATTAAAGAAGATTGACATACAATTAATTAAATAAATCGCCGCTTACAACTTTTAACATTTTAAGAAAAATGCATTCTGGGAAACCGCACTTCCGGAATAACAAACCATGCGGCGAAAGAGAAAACATACCAGGTAACAATTTACCGAATAATCGCTAAACAAACACCGTTTTAATTATGTGATCATGTATACAATATAGGAAGCTATAGATAACAATTAATTTAACATCATAACAACATTAAAATCTCGAAAAGCAAACAAAATAACGTATGCGGCAATACACATCGTCTGACAGAATTCGGGGGTCGTATCAAAACACAATGCACTAAAGAAAAATGTAATCAAGTAATACGGTTAAAACTTCGTGATTATAATATCACTGTCACTCTATTTGTCACACCTGCTAAACCTTCAAGTATATCTAATCCAATTACATGTACAAGTTTAAAAAGCTAGAAATTGTTATTGTATTTTTTTTCTCATAATTGATTTAGTTTACCTCATATTTATTCAGGAAAGTTGAAACATTACTCACTTATCCATCCGTTTCCTTCCTTTTTGTAGCATACGTTTTACTGTTATTTCCTGGTTAATGTGTTTATTATATGTTTTGCACGATTAAAGCTTTGGGTTTGTATCTGTAATTTTTCTTCAGCTATTATGAGTCCACTACACAGTCAAGCAGGTCTTCTTGTCGTGTGTGTGTTTGCTTATCAAGGTTTGTATGCTTGAATCCATTTATAGTGTCATATATCTCATCACTAAATTCAAAATATATGTGCTGAGTTCGAATCAGATGAAAATATCTAGATACACTCCTTTTTCTTTGTAATATCAATAATTACTTTAATAATATAACTTAAAACAACTGAAAAAGGATAAAATACATATTTCAGAAAGTGGAAAATGAATTTATTTCTCAAATTACTTTTTTGCGGAAGAGTTAGACACACACGGCGACATGCAGTGTAAGCATTTATCAATTATCTAGGAAACGTCCACACCACATTCCGTAAAGTCTGTATTTTCTTTGCAGTAATTGGTCAAAAAGTCCAAAAACTTATTGAAGGCTGCATAAGTGACAATGTTACTTTGTCCTTTGATCTACCTGAGAAGAGGAACCATACTGTGGATAGTTATATTTGGTACAAACAGGATGTATCAGGGGACCCCAGCTTCGCCAAATATACTGTAGCTGAAAACAAGTTTGAAATCTACAGAGATGCTCAAAATCGACTCCTCCACAATCATAATGATCCATCACAGCTGAGAAATTTAGTTTTACTGAATGTGCAGAAAAGTGATGTTTCTAAATATGTTCTCGTGATTAATTATGTCAACGTCACACAGCGGACATCGGAGTATCTCTTACGATTGTCGGTTAAAGGTTTGTCAAGAGAAAAAGTTTAAAGAGTGTCATAGTGATTGATATGTAAATAAAATGGTATTATATTTTATTTCCGTCCCCTACAAGCTGGATAAATTATATGTCAACATGCAATAAAAATATGTCAACATATAATAATTATGTCTAAAAGAAAATAATTATGTAAACACGAAGTTACTAATCTTCTAAGAAAATTAAATTCTGGGGGCAAATTTACTCACTAACGCCAGTATCTAACATCATACATGCAAGATGCAGTGAAATTATGTTGACTTGTGACTTATCTATGTTAACATGCAAATAATAATGCAAACATGCAAGATATTCATGTCAATATGTGACTTATTTATGTTCACATGCGACATAATGATGTAGACACACGACTCATGTATGTCTATCTGCAAGATAATCATGTCAGCCTGTACTTTTTAGCTAACCTGAGCCGAAGGCTCAAGTGAGCTTTTCTGATCACATTTTGTCCGTCGTCCGTCCGTCTGTCCGTCTGTCCGTCTGTAAACTTTTCACATTTTCGACTTCTTCTCAAGAACCACTGGGCCAATTTTGACCAAACTTGGTACAAAGCATCCTTGGGTAAAGGGGAATTTAAATTGTTAAAATGAAGGGACATATCCCCTCGCAAGGGGAGATAATCAAGAAAAGACAAAAATAGGGTGGGGTCATTAAAAAATCTTCTTCTCAAGAACCACTGGGCCAGTAAAGCTGAAACTTATGTGGAAGCATCCTGGTATAGTGTAGATTCTAAATTGTTCAAATCATGACCCCCGGGGGAAGGGCGGGGCCACAATGGGGAATCAAAGTTTTATATAGAAATATATAGGAAAAATCTTTGAAAATCTTCTTCTCAAGAACCACTGGGCCAGAAAAGCTGAAACTTATATGGAAGCATCCTGGTATAGTGTAGATTCTAAATTGTTCAAATTATGACCCCCGGGGGAAGGGCGGGGCCACAATGGGGAATCAAGTTTTATATAGAAATATACAGGAAAAATCTTTGAAAATCTTCTTCTCAAGAACCAATGGGCCAGAAAAGCTGAAACTTATGTGGAAGCATCCTGGTATAGTGTAGATTCTAAATTGTTCAAATCATGACCCCCGGGGGAAGGGCGGGGCCACAATGGGGAATCAAAGTTTTATATAGAAATATATAGGAAAAATCTTTGAAAATCTTCTTCTCAAGAACCACTGGGCCAGAAAAGCTGAAACTTATATGGAAGCATTCTGGTATAGCGTAGATTCTAAATTGTTCAAATCATGACCAGGGCGGGGCCACAATGGGGAATCAAAGTTTTACATAGAAATATATAGGAAAAATCTTTGAAAATCTTCTTCTCAAGAACCACTGGGCCAGAAAAGCTGAAACTTATGTGGAAGCATTCTTGGGTAGTGTAAATTCTAAATTGTTGGAATCATGACCCCCGGGGGAAGGGCGGGGCCATTATAGGGAATCAAAGTTTTACATAGAAATATATAGGAAAAATCTTTGAAAATCTTCTTCTCAGGAACCACTGGGCCAAAAAAGCTGAAACATACATGTATGTGCCAATGGAAGGATCATGGGGTAGTGTAGATTTCAAAATGTCTAAATTATGATCAGTGGGGTAATGTGGGGATGCATTATGTATAACAAGGGTGAAATCTGGTAAAGAACAGAATGGTCAAAGCTTCTCAGGTGAGCGATGTGGCCCATGGGCCTCTTGTTATTAGCTCACCTGAGCCGAAGGCTCAAGTGAGCTTTTCTGATCACATTTTGTCCGTCGTCCGTCAGACCGTCCGTCCGTCTGTAAACTTTTCACATTTTCGACTTCTTCTCAAGGACCAAAGGGCCAATTTTAACCAAACTTGGTACAAAGCATCCTTGGGTAAAGGGGAGTTTAAATTGTCAATATGAAGTGCCAAGTCCCCTTACAAGGGGAGATAATCAAGAAAAGACAAAAATAGGGTAGGGTCACTAAAAAATCTTCTTCTCAAGAACCACTGGGCCATGAAAGCTGAAACTTATGTGGAAGCATTCTTGGGTAGTGTAGATATTAAATTGTTAAAATCATGACCCCCGGGGTAGGGCGGGGCCACAATAGGGAATCCACATTTTACATAGAAATATGTAGAACAAATCTTTAATAATCTTCTTCTCAAGAATCACTGAGCCAAGAAAGCTGAAACTTTTATGGAAGCATCCTTGGGTAGTGTAGATATTAAATTGTAAATATCATGACCCCTGGTGGTAGGGCATGGCTGCAATAGGGAATCCAAGTTTTACATAGAAATATATAGAACAAATATTTAAAAATCTTCTTCTCAAGAACTACTGGGCCATGAAAGCTGAAACTTATGTGGAAGCATCCTTGCGTAGTGTAGACATTAAATTGTTAAAATCATGACCCCTGGGGGTAGGGCGGGGCCACAATAGGAAATCCAAGTTTTACATAGAAATATATAGATCAAATATTTAAAAATCTTCTTCTCAAGAAGCACTGGGCCAGGAAAGCTGAAACTTATGTGGAAGCATCCTGGGGGTAGATTCTAAAGTTTTAAAATCATAAAAGGGTAGGACCCGGGGTAGTGGGGCATGATAGGTATAGCAAGAGGGGGAATCGGGTAAAGAACTGCATAACCCAAGTTACTCAGGTGAGCGATGTGGCCCAAAGGCCTCTTGTTTATTTTAACATGCTACTTATTTTGTCAAAATGTTTTAACATGCTTATGGCGTAAGTAGGTAAGATTACTTATATTAGAATTAGATTCTCTAAAGAGATTGATAACTTGCATGCCAGCATGATTATTTTGTATGTTGACATGAATAGGTCGCATGTCTTCATAATTATATTGCATGTTAAAATAATTTATCTTGAATGTAGGGGGCACAAATATGCCACTATACAATAATAATTGTCAGAAAGATTTAAAAGAAAAGAAGATTTTTTTGTTTATATGTTTGATCTTGTAAACAACTTCATGAAAGTCGCGTGGCGCAGTGGTTAGAGCGTCTGCTCTAGAGTCGCGAAGTAAGGAGTCAATCCTTACGTCGCGGGTTCGAATCCCACTGCGGGACGTGGAGACCGGTCCTTCGGCTGAGACCGTATAAACCGAGGCCCCGTGTCGCAGTAGATGCTGGCACGAAAAAGATCCCTCACTGCTCAAAGGCCCTGAGTGCCGAGCATAGGACAAAATTTTTCGCCCTCCACCGGCAAGTGGTGGCTTCTCCATATGAGTGAAAAATTCTCGAGAGGGACGTTAAACAACATACAATCAATCGATCAAACTCCCTTTGTTTCCTGATTAATTATAATAAGATTCATACATTTTAAAAGCATTATTCTTGTTGAAGTCACAATTAACTAACTTTTTCTATTGATATTAACATTATTGGATTATTTTCTTAGATCTTTGCTTTGGAAAACCCGAGCTAGTAGACGGATGTGCAGTATCAACATGTTTTACAGGAGAGAACGGAAACCTAACAACGGTATCACATTTTACATCGAAATTATACTGTATAAAGGAAAGTGGGTCTATCCTGAATCAACTAATGTCGGTTGAATGATTATTTGCCCTATTTCTCTCATTAGTAAGAAAAAAAATGTAAAAGGAAGGGCAAATAGTAACATTACATTTAATTTAAAAAAAAAAACCTCTCAGACCTTATTCTTTTGCAATGCATATCAAGCGACACAGGCCTAATCAATAGGACATTCATTACTTGTGATTGATTACTGTATACAGGGTTTTTTTCGCCCCGTGTTATTTTCGCCCTTTCATATTCGGAAACAAGTTTGCCCCATTTTAAATTCGCCCAGAAAGATCTTTGTTTAAGATTTTATACTGTCTACTTAGAATTCGCCCCGTTTTAAATTCGCCCACTTCCAACGAGGGCGAAAGGGGCGAAAATTAAACGGGGGCGAAAATTTCCCTGTATACAGTAATTAAAGTCTACATGCTCCTTTTTTGACAGAACGCGATTATGATAAATAATAATAAATTACACTGTGCTTTCCAGCAAAATCGATTAATTTTTTTAAAACTAATTTCAAAGACTTGTTTAGTTCAGGGGACCATTTTGCAAAAGAACTTACGGGTACATGTAAGACCAAAAACTTTGGATAATTGTTAAGTTTTGCAAAATTAATAATTTTCTTCAAAATGATTTGTATAAAATTATCTTAACATATTTCTTATAAAAAGATTATTAAAATAATTTTCGATATAAAGATTATTACGCCCCAACTCCACGCATGCCTCTTCTAAATGTTTACGTATTTAAGTATACTAATAAATTACTTAAAATAATTTAATCCAATAAACCCATGTATCGG